CGTCGGGCTATCCCTCAGCTCCATGGGGACTAAAGTGGGTAGAGCAGGCGCCCACGTACAACCAGAAGCTGGGCTGGTGGCAAAGAAGCAACACTCGCCTGTCCCCTGCGCTCCCTGACCTCCTCCCTCAAGACATGAGCTGTGTCTGGGGGCAGGGCTGGCGAGGGGCACCTCTACCCATCTCTCTGTGGAGGCTGGAGCAGGAGAGCCCCTCAGAAAGAGCATCAGGACCCAGCACAGCCTCTGCCGTGGCCGAGCGAGCAGGGCAGGCAGGCAAAGGGCTGGAGGAGGTTCTCCTGCACCTCCCATGGCTGTGTGCTTGGAGGAGAAAGCCTCCCTCTTTGCTGTCACCCTGCAGCCCCAAGTGCACAGCACGGAAAGTCCCAGGTGAGTTTTCAAGCCACACGGGTCCCTGGGAACACGACAGGAGCGATGCCCCTTCCTGAGCACCTGGGATGGAGCCAGGGCAGAGCAGCGAGGCGAAGATGCAGTTATATGGATCACTAGCTAATGCTTTGTGGAGTTAACACAAGAAACATGACCGGATTAATTGAAAATGCTTCCAAAACGAAATGGGAGATGAAATGGGTGTCTCTAAACCTACAGAGATCCTAAAGCTGCTTGGTCAGGTGGGTGAAATACTGAGATCTGGATGGAAACAAACAAAAAAAAAAGAACAACGTGCCAATGGCAGATGGGATGGAGGTGCAGTGGGTCATACTTATCTTTACCTTACGGGATTTCTGGGATCCAGACAGCAGGGGAGGGAAAAATACAAATGAAAAAAATCATAGGGAGAGAGAGAGAGAAAGAGAAAAGGGAGATCAGTGGGTAATATCGTAACATGCAGGGCTGCAAGACCACTGCTGCAACCAGTGCCCGGGGCAGTCAGCGGGGGAGAAGGGGAAAGGGAAGGGAAAGGGAAAGACAAACTGCAGAAGGCAACAGGAGGGGCCACTGCCACCCTGGGGTAACCTTTGCTCGGAGAGAAACTTGGGAAGAAGAGAGTGAGGGGGAGAAGAAATCCCTTCTTTTGCAGGAATGTTTCATAATCTTGATGCTGCACTTCCAGGTGGATCTTAAGGATGAGTTCAGCAGCAGCTGGGG